ACAGGATGCCCACCTTACGAAGAGTTGCCTAAAAAATGTGTCAGAGTTCGTGAAAGTGTTATCTGAAAGGATGGATGATATTTATCATCAAGTGCATTCAAACTTGAAAATGTCTGCTGATTCCATGAAGCTATGTTATGATAAGAGATCTATTGAAGTCAGCTTTGTATCAGGAGACAAGGTGTGGTTCTATAATCCCAGGAAGACCAAAGGGAAGTCTCCCAAGTTGTCTTCTCCATGGGAAGGCCCATATGACATAGTGGATCGTCTCTCAGATGTGACTTTCTGAATAAAATGTGGTCGGCGAGGTAAGCCAAAGGTGGTGCATGCCAACAGGCTTTGGCGTTATAACCAAGGTCTAGGACATTTCAGTTGGAACGAAGTTAACAAAGGAACAAATGACGCTGCTGAAGATGTGTCACCTGAAAAAGCCACTGTCGAAGAAGAAACTCTACCTTGATGAAGTTACTACCACTGATGTGACTGTTATCGGTAATAGGACATTTCCTGATGGAGCAGATGAATCCCACATGAAGCAAAAGCCAACGAGACGGAGACCAGTACGGAAGAAGATACGTCCCGTAAAATTAAGAGACTTTGTTGAATTTTAATTTTGTATTTGTAAATTCTGTACATTTAATTAAGTTACTGTTAATTATCTATTGGTTTAATGCAAGTGGCTATCGTTCGGGACGAACAATACTAAGGAAGGGGCAGTGTTACGACAGTGGAAGTCACGTGACGCTGGTAACACGCCATAAGATTCTCGAAGGATCTTAACTTTTCCTGGCAACTCTAGTCTTTTCTAGACGCCCTCTTTTATCTGTATGTAAGCCCAACAAATAAAGCGGAGATATAACAGCAGATAGACAGATATAGATGCAGATAATTGAGTCAAGCGAGCGGTAGTGACCGTAAGTAAAGTGCATGAATCGTTGTGAATTATAGCGTGTGTTTAAGTTAAAGTGACTGTGGAAATTCTGTGTATTGCAAAGTTGTATTAAGAAAGAATAAACTAGTTTTATTTAAGAAAGGACTTGTATCGCTGAAGTTCCTCCGGAAGAATTTATACTGGGAATTAACAAACGATCAGAGACATAACAATATGATACTTAGTGTCAAAATGATTTTGTACAATAGTATTGCTAATTACATTCTCTTTAGTAGTAAAATCCAGATGTAGAACAAGTCTCCCCTGTTATCTATAATTTTGTTGACATAGAACACTGATATAATATAAAAACAACAAGGGGTCAGTCGGTCCCTCAAGGCTATTCGTGCACACCCATCTTGAAGAAAAAATGAAAACTTAAACCCACACTTTATTTTTTTCAGGAAATTGTTGACTGTGGCTTTAAAAAACTTCAACAGAAGCATTTCTAAGGCAAAAAATAACTTTAAAAGATGTGGTTGCATGTCTAATGAAATGATTGAACAACTTGAAAATTACATTATTGGCACTCTCCATTCTCCAACACCTGACACTTTTGTAATGGTACATGACTACAGATGGTTGTTTAGTATAAGGGGTCATGCTAAGACATTCTCATTGTGCTGGAGGTTAACCTGTAATGGACTGGTATCCCATCCAAGGAGAATGTGCCATTTTGGTATGGGAAGGAATTGATCTTGATTGAATAATCATATATTTTAATTTTTTTATACACTATATTTCTAAACACTTATAAGATGTTAATGGTGAAAATAGTAAGACTAGGGGATACAAATATAAATTTTGGCAAGGTAAAAGTCATCTTCAGCTAAGACAGTTTTATTTTTCTAACAGGGTGGTTGGCCTCTGGAATGGGTTGCCTTCGGATGTTGTGGAGGCAGTAAACTTAAGTGAGTTTAAGAGAAAGCTTGATAACTATATGAATGATAAGGGATGTCTTTAAGATTTGTATTTTATTTTTTAATTTATTTATTTATTTGATAGTTTAGTTTAGAGGATGGGACAGCTGAGATGGACCAATAGGTCCCCTATTGTCCCTAAACATTATATTATGTTATTTGAAAGAATGTTTTTGTACATCATGTATATATATATATATATATCAAGTACATGTAATTCAACTATTAAAATGCATGATTTTGTTTACCATCCAGAAAGCACATTTTTCAGCATTGTTTCAACATTTTGTTGTAACACATTAAGTCAGAGATTAAAAGTTCTGTAGCTAAAAATCACTTTAGAAGACATTTTCAGGTTACGTGGTAATGAAAATATATATGTCTAAACTCAGTTAAAAATGATACCTTAGTTATGTCAAATATATGTTTTTGAGAACTTTTGCTATTTTACTTGCTCAGAATTTGGTTATGTGTGTGTAGTCACTATACTGTTTTTAAAGATTACAACATTAGCAAAGGATTCAGGAAAAAACGTTTTATATATATATATATATATATATATATAATGTTTTCCACATAGAACAATGTTCAAAATTGTTTTTCCTTTTATGCTCACTTGAAGCAAGTTGCATGCTCTACATTGAAATATATGTTATTAACAAAAACTTCCAAAAATACTTTTATGATCACTTGTAGCAACTTATGCTCTACATTGAAATATATGGTATTAACATAAAGTTCAATAAATACTTTTATGCTCACTTGTAGCAAGTTGCATGCTCTACATTGAAATATATGGTATTAACAAAAACTTCCAAAAATACTTTTATGATCACTTGTAGCAACTTATATGCTCTACATTGAAATATATGGTATTAACATAAAGTTCAAGAAATACTTTTATGATCACTTGTAGCAACTTGTATGCTACATGTTAAAATATATGGTAATACCATAAAATACAGTAAATACTTTTTTCAGTGAATTAACCCTATGTGCATAAGTGGGAGTCAAAGTGCACATACTACAACATTTTACAGGGTGCCATTCAACCTAGTATTACGTATTTGATGTAAGAGTTATGAACTATTCATTTGACCTTACACTGCTGATTTAATGACAGTTTATGGTCGAGGAGAATAAATATAAGGTGCAATATACAAGGATACTGAAAAACAACTGTAAGTGTGCATTTTGGAGGTTATAGAGGTTATGCAAATGCAATACAGAAACTGTACAGTGGACATATGTATTTTTATTCTCCATATGAATATCAATCAACTTGCACCCCAACTTGCCAAAGTCTGAGTAAAATTGACATAATCAATTCACAGATATATTTTGAGTACAAATATGCTTTTAATGCATTTACATTTTACTAAAAGTTTTCCACCTTTTGAATACATATACATAGTAAATTTGGAATGATAGTCAAAATTCCTTCTCCTGTTGACCAAGTCCATTCACATTCGATTAACATGATTTTAATTGATCATTCTAAATATAATGAATATATAGTGGTGATGGGGTTATCTAATTTTGTGTTATATCACTTAATGAATTAGTACTACACTAAATTTATAAATGAACTCTTGTGGTATTTCTAAGTATTTAAATATCACACAAATATATATATACTGTTATGGTATGAAAAAATGACTATCCTGGATACATTCTTTTTTGGTATTAATAGCTCACTTGATATTTAACTAAAACAGATTTTCAAAAATGAAGTGTATAAATGGTATTAACTCATTGAAGTATTAATTAATATGAAATTTGAACAGATGAAAATGTTTCATTTGTAATAACATCTCATTCAGTTATTTTTATTTCAGTGTAAAATATAGTACATTTTTACAGTCTGTTAAAAAAGAAAAGGAAAAATTACCAAAATGGCTGAAGCAGTGAAAGTTATTGTAAGATGTCGTCCTTTAAACCAGAGAGAAAAGGATTTAAAATGCAAGGTATGTATTTCTAAATTTATCAGATGAGTTGGAAACAGTAACCACCAAAGTAGAAATTGCTAAATTATTTCATTATTTAAAATACAGCAATCTGCTAAATGGAATTATTTAGACAGTAGACTCTTTTATGACATATCTTCCTCGTTTTTGCATTTTCATTATGTACTTTAGTCATTAACTAAATATTTTATAGTTACATATAGTTTACATATTGTTACTATTGTAGATATAAGCCGCTGTAAGAGAACAAACATTTATGCACATGAAGTACCCAAAATAATTGTATTGATTGTTATTATTAAATTATTATTCATTGCTTCAAATTACTCTCACTGTATTTTAGGTGTGGGGTTTATTTGATAATAAATGAAGGACAGAACTTGTGATAATTTGTATAAATGTTTAATTACTACAATCCAAATATTTTTTCAATGTGCAAAGGACAAATTTATTTCACTTTTTGTATTATCCAATGTATCACATTTAAGAAGAACTGTAGTCACTGGTTTTAATTTTAAAATGATTCTTCTTTAAGATTTTACTGTCAATTAGTGTTTTAAGTTATCAGGATTCAATTAGGTTCTGGTGGGACTTACTCAACGAATAATTTTTAATAACTTTCCCATTGTCATCATGCTGTTCCCTAAATGAATATACAAGTACCTTTAAAATTAAATTGTATTTCATGTGTATAAATTTCAAAGCCTAGAAAATATTGTTTATATGTGTATTTATATACGTAGTCAAAACCTATCCTAGTATGCATACATACATATGTATACTTCACTTTAATTGCAGTTTGTATTCAGTTTGTCAAGAAACCAGGAGTAGATCTAGAATTGTTGCCAATTTCCAATGTAATGTTCTAATGTTAAACAAAAGACTAGTACTTTGAATTATAACCCAATCTGCCTGATAAACTCTTATAATGATATTGAAACAAATAGCTCATGAGCAATAGCCTACTATAATTAAAGAGTAGTTTTTAAAATCTGTCATTTTTGCCATAATGTTATATAATATTTTTGTACTTAAGTATATGTATATATTCATTCCATGTTTAATTTGTTCTCCGACCTTAGTATGCTTTTAAAATTATGGAACACTGTGATTTAGATCATCCTAAAAATGGATTCAAGTTGTGGACAGTGTTCAATCATCAACCCAGCTGATGAAAATGGTCCACCAAAGGTTTTCACATTTGATGGAGCTTACTTTATGGAATCTACCACTGAACAACTGTATAGTGATATTGTATTCCCTATCGTTGATGTAAGAATATTTAATGTATTTAATGAAGGACTAAAATAATATTGTTGTTTAACATTATAGATATGGGCTCTGTTTGTAAATCAGTCATAAAAAAACAAATATTAGTACTTACACACACTGGGAATTCATATGCTATGATTGGAGCTAAAGTTATTGAAAGCACACAGAAAAAATAATATCTTGTTGCAGTACTGTGTTTTTAATATATCTGATAGACTGTGCAGCGAAAGGTGCAAACCTCTTTTCAAAGCATTTTAAACATTATCATTATTTCTGAAACTAGTAGATTTGACCTAAACACTGAATAAGCCAGTCCATAGGTAATTTAATAAAAACAATGTGGTATAATAGTGGTTAATCATATGTCTAACAAGGTCTAAGTTAGTTACTACAGTATATTATAAAATCTAATAATTTGAGTTAAAGATAAATTATGATCACAGTGTGACTTACCAATGAAATTCAGCTCAAATTCTTAATTAATACTCTACCTTGCATGAAAACATCAATTGAACACCCTCACTACTTATGGTGCTTACAATTGGTGTTAGCAGTTTTGTTTAAATTAATTTAATGTTCTTGAAAATAACTTGTATTACATATATATATATCAAGTAGTTCATGTAAGTTGTATAGTGTAAAATCAGTAAATTAGAAGAGCATCTGAATGTAGAGGTGAAATGCCTGTACTGTGCTGACAGAAAACAATATATTTATAAAAGTTAATGTTTTTTTATTATTACATTATTAATTGTTTATTACTACCATATTAAGTCTGGTTTATTTTACTCATTTCTGTATAATTACAAGGTTCATGAATCATGAACTTCAGAATTAAAGATGATTTGGTGTATTATAAATTCCAGAGTGTTACAGAAGGATACAATGGAACAGTGTTTGCCTATGGACAAACTGGTTGTGGCAAATCTTTCACCATGCAAGGAATTTCCAGTCCTCCTACTCAACGAGGGATAATTCCAAGAGCTTTTGAACACATTTTTGAAGCAATAGCAACAGCAGAAAATACAAAGTATCTTGTTCATGCTTCTTTCTTGGAAATTTATAATGAAGAAATTAGGGATTTGTTATCAAAGGATCATAAGAAAAAACTGGAGCTTAAAGAACACCCAGAAAAAGGAGTTTATGTTCCAGGTTAGTTTTGCTATCTTTATTATCTATAGATATAAACATTGATCAATCCACTGTCTAAAAATATGTTGCTCAAAAACTTGCAAAGTTTTATTTTCACTCCAGTGGCTAAATTTATGTCTTCACAAAACAGTAGTTTTTTTCTTCTTCTACTAAATTATTTTCTAATCAAATAGACTTTTCTCTGAAATACCAAAAGCTTTGTTGAGCTTTATCGTATGCTGTAAACAATCATGTGACTTTATACTAAAGGTAGACGGCATAAGTCAAGCCTCTAAAGATGTTTTAGAATTTCCCATTATTAATAGAAGCATTTGCATCAGAATTAGCATTGACTTCAGAAGTCATAGTGAGTGAAGGTAACAGCATCACTATCAACAAGAAAATATGGAGTATAACATGAAAGCAGAGTTAAGTACATTTTCCTAAATCATGCACAATAAGTCACATGAAAGATGGGAGAGTGGAGAACTTTTAGATAAGTTGACACATGCTCTGCATTGTACAAAGGACTTCAGATTGGGCAAGATCATCTCATGGCTGCATTTTCAACCATTATTGATCAATGTATTTGGGTTGTTAGTGTCAAATTGTCTGCTGATGTTCCTGTTGGGTGTCACATGATCACATGGATGCTCAAATTACATAACGCTGGCCCTTTTATCATAATTTTGGACAAGATAGATCTTTTACTCAGACCTATTCACCTTCAGTGTTTGAAGAGCAGAATGTTTCAGATAGTCTAATCCCAAAGAAGCTTATATCTTCGTACTTACAACCTTCTTCTGGAACCTGAATTATTGCTGATGCGGGGTTATCTTTCACTACCCATCTTACTTCTCAAGTTCTTGACCCTCACATAGGTTACTGTGGGGGGAATCTTCCAAGTAAAGCATGCCAGCAGAAGCTGATTAGACTCTTAGCATCTCACTTACTTCTGGTAATTGTTCCTTTTTGAGATGACCAGCAAATAATGTTTGTCTTCCCACTGTGCCTCCTTCATCTACTTCTTAGTCAACATCAGTTACTTGAGTTCATTCCTTTTGACCCTACCAAGTGGGAAAACTTTGAAGTGAGTCTTCTCAACCCACTCATTGACTCTCTTCTGTTCCAGATGAATCCTATATCCTGACTACTGGGGTGGGGGTATTCTGAGATAATATGCTCATCTGTGGGATTCTTGGGTTCAACAGATCCTTCATTCCAGTTAGTACCTTCACTTTTGTCATAATCCTTCTATTTCTCTTCAACTAATGGTCTCTTCCTCCTACAAATTCTGAATCAGGAAATCTCAGATCTTCTTTAAAAAGGAGCAGTCAAAATCATTAGTCATGATTCTCCCTTCCAAGTTTTTACTCCTGTCTCTTTGTCATTCTGAAGAAATTGGGAGATTGGAAGTCAATGATATAACTGTTTCAACTCATTCTTTACCTGGAGACACTTCATTTTAAAAAAGAAAATATCAAGGCCATGGGATGACAAAGATGGATATACTGGATGCTTATCTTCATATTCCTATTCATCCATTCTTTCATAATTTTCTTCATTATTATCATCGGGAAGGGGGAGGAGTTTATCAGTTCACTGCTCTTCCCTACAGCTCCTTACAATCTCTTTTGAGTAGTTGAAACATTTTCTGCTATTAACCATTCACTTTTGCATAAACTAAAGGCTTATTCTGTTTCTGTCATCCACTTAGTCTCTTATACAAACTCAGATGATCATCCAGCCACCTACATCTCTTGAGTAGGTTGTTCACAATGTGAAATCAAATTTAGCATCAACATAGTATTTAGTACATCTGGGATTACGGATCAGTGAGGTTCAAGGATGTTTTTAACTGTCTCCTGTGGTGTTGCAAGCACTGGAGTCTCATGTACATACACTTCTGTCTTTCATAGCTTCTGCCAAAGATATTCTTTCTGCTTTGGAAATGATGGCTTCACTTGATGAAACACCTTCAATGGGACCTTGCTTATCACTGACATCTGACTTGTCACAGATCATAACTATTTCTCCTATCACTCAAGTTTTGATTGAATTGAAAGCTTACAACACAAAGTTCTCCTTTTCTTCTTTATCCTGTAGACCTTAATGTTTTCAAATATCCCTCTCTCATGGATAGGGATGCTGTATTGGGAAATCAGCATTGTTCTAGTTCTTGGTCTCCTCAGCAAGCAACAGCTTCTACCCCTGAAATGGACCCTCCACCCTTTGGTTTTTCAGTGGCTGTGCAAATGGCTGGCTCGTCTGATGACCAATGTCTTCCTCCACTCTACTAGTGTCCAATTCCACATCCAAATCATCTGGCAGTTGATGCCCTATGCCAGTCTTGGGAGAAACTCTTCCTTTATGCCTACTCTTCTCTCCATCTTCCCCGTGGTACTTGCCAAAATCAATTAATCAAAGTGCTGGGTTCTCCTTATTTCAATTTGGCCAGCTCAACCATGGATTCCTCTAGTATGTTAATTTTCACACAGAAAATGAATCCCATTACCATGGAAACATCTTCTGTATAAACCTTGAACATCCATTTCTTCACAGTGACATCAACTTCTACAACTTCATTGCTGGCTCTTGTTTAGTCCTTTGTACAAGAAGCTGGATTTTCTTCCTGAATACTTGAATGCTAGCCCATTTTTTCTGATGCTCTTCCCCAGCTGTCTATCTGTCTCACTGGGCTTCTTCTGGAGTTGGTGAGATTGATATAATATGTCTTGTTTACTCCAATTATTCCATGAATTGCTTATTTACTTATATTTTTGTTTCATGCTTGCAGCTTATCAGCTTTTTTACATTGTTGGATACAGAGCTGTTTTATTTGCCACCTTTAGATGCCATGGAAGCCATCAGTCTCCTTTGTCCCCATTGTTCAAAGACCTTTTCCAACTTTAATCTTCAATAATTTAATCTATCACTTTAAAATTAGGGACAACTCATGCAATTAGCCCATGTGAAATTTAACAAAGAATCTCCCCCTTCTGAACCCTTAGTGACTAGTTCACCCTTTTATTTTTCCCTAAAATAATATTTCTTTTATTACTTGCATTGATATCCATGGCATTTTTGCTTTACATACTTTTTTTTTCAGAATGCCTTATACCCAGATCATTTCTTCGTACCTAAAACGCCAGCTGCATGAGAAGATAACCACTGTCTCTTATCTTACACCTGCCCAGACTGACCCTGATTCTCATTCAGAGGAACAAATTTGATGTTCTGTAATAACTATTCATTGTTCTCTCGCAAGTACTGAATTTTTTAGGGGGTCTCACAAAAGTTTGTTTATACCCTACAATGAAGCACACTCTTCAGATCTTGTTCCAGCTGCATTAATAAATTGGCTTTTGCAGTTGATTCCTATTGTTTACCATGGTGTTCCCAAACACCTTAAACATAAGTTTTGGGTTACATCTCACCAAATTACCCATTTGGGGATGTTTTCTTTGCCATCATGGTTGCAGTACCCTTGAGAGGATATTCTGCAAGCTGCATGTGGACAAATTCGAATATATTCTCAAAATTTCACTTACAACACATTTTTGTCTCTTGAGCTCCAGAATTACATTTACTTTTAGTTTTGATTAGTCAAACCAGAAGTAATCCCTAGCAGGTAAGTTCTTCTTTGTTACCTGCTTAACTAATACTATGGTCTACACCTATGTTGTGTTTGCTAACCCATATACCTTCGCATTTGTTCTAGACAAAAATTCCACCCTTTGGGCTGGTGATTTATAAGAGGGTAATGCCTTTTGGAAGTGGACAAAGCATGCCATCTGATGGCTGATGCCTTGGCTAGTACCTTTCCCACCTCTGCATGCATGTCTTGCATAGTGTTCAAGACATTGGAGACAAGAAAACCATTCTCCATATAAAGTCTCATAGCTCCAACCAAGATGAGGAACACTTTACTGCTATATTTTTATCTTTTCTTAGCCATGTTTGATGTTCTTATTGCACTGCTCTAGAGTTGTGAAGATCATTGTATGGTTTTGCCTTGGTTTTTTTAATTCTCCCTTGGTGCCTACTGACTAGGCTGGTTTCATGACTTGGCTGGCCTTTTCAGATGAGGATGAAGGAAACTTTACCCCCAGGAGTATGTCCAGTCTTTAGTTATTACCGTTCTCCTCTTCTGAGAACCTCCCACTATAAATACAGAACATTGCATTGCGATCCTGAATACCTGTTAAACCACCATCTGTGACCACACCTGAGATTGTGCATAGCTCCACAGATATATACTCAGCACCCCTACCCCTTTTTACATATTTTTTAGGGGTGACTAGTGTGATCAGGTATCCTGCTGAGAAGAATGCCTTTCTTTGTGATTATTTCCTTTTTTATGCAGTTTCTTTTAAGGTTGGTCTACTCCACTTGTTCAATGAATTCAGTCAATTGACTCTGGTTCTTGATGCTACTCAATCAATCTCTGCTTGATAATATTTTTCATTTATAGTGGTCTAGGTTGTTATGTTCCTGGCTGGAGTTCCTTTGGTCCTTATGATAATTCTTTATTTACCTCCTCCATCTCAGTAAGTTTACCTGATTCCAAATCTACATTACGTAATTGTTGACTGCATGAGAACAACTCAACAATGAAAGTCTTTTTTTATTATTATTTCAAATGTTTGAAATTTATTTTAATTCTAAAAATGTAAAACTTTCTTCAACAAACTGGGATGTTGTAGTCAAATATGTTAACTAAAGTAAAGAAAACAAGACAACTGTACGTTTCACGAATACATCATTTATTCACCACCATGGTTTTGTCAGTAAAGGCATCATCAGGCAAAATCATGGTTATGAAGAAATGACATATTTGTGAAACGTACAATTGTCTTGTTCTTCCTCAATTTTGTAATTACAGAGTTTCACCAATTACTCACAGTTTCAAGTATCAATTATACAAATATGTTTATTTTTCAGTTCATCATTATGCCTCACTTTCCACTTTTTCAGAACATTTTTAATATGAAAGGACTGTGTACCACTCTTAAGATTTCCTACATTTAGAATATAGAAAGTCAGTTAAACACTTCCAACGAATTGATAATCCTAAGTTTTTCAAGTGAATGTACATTACCTTTCTGTTCATAATAATTGATGAATTAAAATTCTGATTTCCAAAATCTGGGATCTTCTGAATCATTTGGTTAAAACATCTGTCCAGCATCCAGAGTTACTGGTTCAAATAATGCCCAGTCTCAGTTTTCACATTTTCAGAATTGTATCAATATCACCAGGTGGTGTGCCCGTTGTAACATTTTCTGCTATTATTTTTCTACTGCTTTATATGATTCAGTGGTATGGAAAAACATTGAATTGAATGTCATAAAATAGAGAGATGGAATGAGGGGAGTTGAGTACTTGCAGTATGTTAACGTAGACTTGTTTCAGCATGACTATATGCATTTGCAATTTTATATGTAAAAAGTAATTTTTATATTTAGTAATTTTACCTGAAATATCGTGTGATGCATTTCTTCCTTTGTTGCTTCAAGAAAAGTTGACTTTATACCATTAAAATTATGACATGAGTTCAATCCAATTATGTTTAATGATACTACAAAAATGCTACAACCTGGGGAGGTAGCTCAGGTATAGTCACACCTCTGCAGTAGTTTCATTTGTTTTATTTACAAGATTTCTATAAATTAAAATTTTAAATTTAATATCCATACCATTAAATATTTTATGAGTTGAGCCAAGCATGACTTAGTGATAAGCATGCTAGACTGTAAAGCTGATGGGTCATGGTTTTTGTCCCATTGGTACAAAATTTCTCTCCATGCTTTAGGGTTGTGGATGCATTATAAGAATAACAATCAAACTGAAAATAGGTGCTGATAACTAGCTGCCTTCCTTCTAGTCTAAGTCCCCCGGCGGGACAGCAGTAAGTCTTTGGATTTACAACACTAAAATCAGGGGTTCAATTCCCCTCAGTGAACACAGCAGATAGCCTGATGTGGCTTTGCTATAAGAAAACACACCCTTCTAGTCTATCAGATCAAAATTAGTGATGGCTAGAGAAGATAGCCCTTGTGTGTAGCTTCCACAAACATTTGAAATAAACAAATAATTTTATGACATTTCACACAGGACTTTCCCTTCATCCTGTACATAATGTACGAGAATGTGAGTTAGTGATGGAACAAGGCTGGAAAAATCGATCAGTAGGAGCCACACTGATGAATGCAGACTCATCTCGTAGTCATTCTATCTTCACCATCCACTTGGAGATGATGGACACTGAGGTTGAAGGCGATCAGCAAATTCGTCAGGGAAAGCTCAACTTGGTAGATTTGGCAGGAAGTGAACGACAAAGTAAAACAGGTGAAATTTTCTTGCTGTTAGTTAATAATTTGTAAACTTAAATTCCCAGGAAATAAATTTCTCCTTACTTTCATCAGGGTGATAAAAAGAATTGTTTAAATGCCAGCTCAAAAATTTTATTCATAGCACAAGATAATTAGTGTGCGGACCATTTTCATTTATATAGTGCTCTGTGAACACAAATTAGTTAGCATAAATCAGTTAAATGACGAAAAATTAGGTGTCTATTTACTTATGACCACTCAGTGTACATGATTTACATACTTGTGAAATATGAACATGAAATACTTATATATTACTGAATAAAGGTGATACTTGTTTCAGGCTTTTAGAAATATTTTGTTTTTAATATTACATAAATTAAATATAGCAGCAGTATGTCTATTACTCTGATATACTTATAGGTCTAGTGTGTTATAATATGGTAAGTTTGTTTTGAATATAAATATACAAGATTTTTGCAATATTGTTCTTATTATGATATTGCATCAGCAGTCAGTGATCAGCAATACAAAATAACATGAAACATAAAAATTATCATGTTATACATTTAAGTACAAACACCAGTAGCATGATAATCCAATACTAACATGAGTCAGTTTGTGATGTGGAAGCTCAAGCTCGGGTTGTTTAAGATTCGGGTCACATTAGCTATGAGAGAATGCATCTACTACTGTCTGACAAATTCAGTTTTCTCATTAAACTTTGTTCAAAGCAAAAACCTTCCTTACAAACAGATCAATATTAAGACTAAAGTATAGCTGTCATGTACCTATAAAATTAAAACTGATAGTGGAAGTCTAATCCAACAGTATAGTTAATCATATTTGAGGCATATTAGGTCAACATATGACTCTTATATTACCTTTAAAATACTTTCCCATACTGTACATTACCTCCATTCACAGATATTGCTATTCTCATTTAGTGCTGCTAAACAAACCCCACTACATGTGGTTCAACTGCATCTCACATGTAAATCATCATGCACAACCCTCCACCAACAGGAGTGTAACACACCCTCCTGATGCATGTGACTACCTCTATTTGATTATACCAAACTATCACTTATCGTTTGACACTGGTCATGCAAGACATTTGTCATTGTGCTCTTCAGTCATGTTTTTTTTTAAACTTAGTGAATTTTTTGAAATTTTTTATTCAACGTTTATAAAATTGTTTTATAATTTCTTCTGAAGTGGAATTTTTGTTCTCATTTTTCAAATATTCTCAAACGCAAAGATAACTTTTTTTTTTCCAGTTTTTCATTTATTTATTCTAACACTGTTGTGTTTGGTTATTGTATGTGTGAAGAGTAAGTACCCTTTGGAAAAACATTTTCAGTATAGGAAAATTATAACTTCTCAGATATAGAAAATATTAATAATAATACATATAATATTTTTATCAAAAACTAATTCATACCTAAAGTGTTAAATCCTTTCACATTATTTGCTTGAAGACGATTGTCACACAAATGTCAAAAAAGATTACTTATATTTCCCTTTTGCATGTTATATTTTTAAAATAAATTTGACAAACAGGCATCTTGTTACCCTCCTCAGTGAGGCTGAACCATTTCCACATAACTGACTTTATATTCTTTTTTGCAATAAGATTAGGCTAGCCATCACTGTTTTCCAACATGTTTGTTTTGATTTGTAAACAAAATCAGCATGCTCTTTTCTTATAAAGTAAAAACCAAAATGAAAATGTATGGCTTATTGTTAAAGTACACTTACAATGAAACAAAATCTAGTATAGTACCAATACTGTAGTATTATGGTGATAATAAATTTTATAGATGCTCAATTTACTGTGAATTTCTTAACTGAGATGTTATCAAAATATCAATAATCAGCACAGCCCTAACCAACAACATGTACTGTTCTGTACACAGGAGCTACTGGAGATCGGTTAAAGGAGGCTACCAAAATTAATCTTTCACTATCAGCATTGGGAAATGTTATTTCAGCTCTGGTGGATGGCAAGTCTAAACACATTCCTTATAGAGATTCGAAGCTAACAAGGCTTTTACAAGACTCTCTGGGAGGAAATACTAAAACCTTAATGGTTGCCTGTCTGTCACCTGCAGACAATAATTATGATGAAACTCTCAGTACTCTAAGGTATGCTAACAGAGCTAAAAGCATCAAAAACAAACCAAAAATTAACGAAGACCCTAAAGATGCTTTGTTACGAGAATATCAGGAAGAGATCCAGCGACTCAAGGCTCTACTCAGTGGGCAACCTCTTCCTAATATGTCAGCTCGTGAGTTTTTGAAATTTAAAATTTTTCATTTGTAAAAGTGTGATGTTTCTAATTTAAGTTAAAGTAATTTTACTTCTGAATCTTTATGAAGATTTTCATTATGTTTTACTGACATATGCCTATTAGGTTTGTAGTTAAACTTCTAATTTTTATATTTATTTACATTAAATCATTAATAGTGTGCATACCATATTTTTCTGAATAAAAATATAATTTTTGTGCTTGAAATATGCACAAGTAATGTTGCTTATGTCCAGTGTTGTCAGTAAGTTTTTAAAAGCATTTATTAAACATGAAGGATTTAAATATCTCTCTAGGCTCATGATTTTACATGCACTGATACAAAAGTGACACTAACTTCAACTGAAATACTTTGTCATTATACATTTATTTACGTATAAAAAGATAAAGTTTGTAGGGTTTTTACGTGACAAAATATGCAGTACTCATTAACGCAGCAATAGTGTAAAAGCAGTGAAGATGTAATTTGTTGCCATCACCACTTGTGGTAGTTTTCAGATACACCTATTGTCAATTCATGCTTAATCAGTTAAGACATGATCAGACAAAACAAGTACATTATCGTAACCAGCTAATCATAAGAAACAACAAAAAGATGGAACTAATTAGAATAATTCCAGAATTTAGGTATGGACTAACTTCATTAAGATAATTTCATCCATCTCTGAATCATGCAGAAATAATGTTTATTATATTCTGTCTATGTTGAGTCATCCATCATACAAAGAGCCCAACAGTAACTGATGCTCCAGTGCTTTTGCCTCAGACAGGCCAGTAACAGTATCAAAAAAATGTTATTTTGATCTGATTTCTACTTTTAGCTTCAGAACATATCTGAATAAAGACTGTCTAATTTCGCTATGTAATATGGCTCATTTCCACTTATGAACGATAAAATATTGCATTGCCATATGTGTTGACATTGCATCATCACAGGATTCCAGTAACTATAACTAGATTTTAAGTTACTGATCTTCAATCAGAAACAATCTTTTTATTCTTAAGAATATTTTTCTGTTAATATCAATGATTCTATGTGCAGTAATATTATGATCTGTTATGTTCCAGTTTATTTTTTTTTCAGTCACTACAATGTTTCTAGCAATGCCAGCCTTTTTGGAATGCTGAAATGAAAGTTTCTAAATCAAAGTTTATTTTGAAAATAAGTTGTTTTTTTATTATCTAGAAAGATTATCATTGATACAATATCGACTAGCTATATAGTAAATCTCATAGCAGACTGGTTAACTTAATTTTACTTGCATGCACCTCATTGAGAGTTGATAGTTCCATGACAATACCTTCCAAGCAATTGTAAACCATTTCAGAACATCCCAGCTTAAGAGGATGCTCTCAAGCAGCTTGCAGCTTCTGATCGCTGAACCTTAAGTTTGAACCCTGGTCATACATAATAAGAAAAGGAGCTAATACGTACCACAAAACAATAAACCATGGCATGGAAAGCATTATCATTTCTAGTAAAAACACAAGCAAAGATATTTCCTTTAAGAAACCGAGAGGCAGACAGTCTCCTACAACTTTCATTCATAATAATTACATTGAATTGTACTTATAAACAAAATAACAGTTTGAGAAATCAGTATTTGAAGTACCATGTAACGAAATTCATCAGTACCAAAAACAATCCTTACCTTTCCTTATATATTTTTTTCCAACCACCAATGCCGATTGTTTTATAGATATTAACTTTATTCTCTTTGCTTTGAGATTAGAAGACACAATTACATCTTTATTCCAAACCACAAACTCGCTGAAGTTAGGAGTTCATAGCATAGATAACAAGACTTTCATAAAGATTGTGCCAAAGGATGTGATTTCCGTATATTTCTTCAAATGTAGTTTTTGTCTTTTGAAACCTTTAATAAAATGTTTAACTTTCACAAAGCCTAAAATTTGGGCCTAATTGTGTGAAACAGAATTTCTAAAATGTCTTTCACAAATGTATGCTTGTCCTTTCAATGTCTAAAAATAGAGTAATATTTATTATTTAACTTAACCATAACTTCTATCCAGTCTTACATTCCTGTAAATGTTTTTTCAATAAATATGTTTAATAACCTAGCTAGAAGCTTTCTAAATCATACCCATTATTAAGAATTTTTGGTCAAAAATAAGCTACATGTAATTATATATAGACCTAAAATAGTGTAAAAGTAACATAGATATAGATGGATAAATAGATATGCTAATGAAGACAATCTTACATACTAAACTAACTGAAAATGCTTCATATAATAAATCAATACACAAGTAAATAAAAACCCTCATTGTTGCAATATTTTTGACTACCTTGAATAGTAGTGGCTGATTACCATACCATACTTATGTTATTCACTAAATTTTATGAACACATTTTCAGTCTGAAATATTTTTATATGTATTGTCTAATGGAGATAAAAACTATTTTCTGTGCCATGTTTCCTTTCCTTATGGTATTCCCATCATCTTGTCTGTTTCTGAAATTCATGGCTATCTGAATTTGTCATACCTAATTTTAAACTGACAAATTAATGAGAAGACAGCTGGTCAGTAACATCCACCCCCAACTTTTGGGTTACTCTAATCAAATAGTAAGATTTAAATGTCACTCTCAAAATGTACCCATGGCCTCAAAGCATGATTTTGGGGTAACATGATACAAACTATAGATCCTTGGATTCACTACCCAACACACTAACCTCTAGGTCATGACCCCTGAGTCCTTATCATAAAATATAAACAGTTTTGGAGTAAGCTAATTAATTATAGATGAAATAATGTCATTAATTTGTTCAGAGATGGTATTGAAACACAATAATATTTTTCCAATTCTTCACCTTAACTGATTTATTTGTTAAACATTAAAATAACATATTGTTGGATATACATTTGCTGATGAAATGTTTTTTATGTCATAAAAAATTAAATTTTCACTGTTCTTGTTGTATTTATTTTGACATATTCTGATACCATTTTCTAGCAGAAGAGGATGAGGAAGAGAAATATATTTCGGAGAAACTTCGAAAGGTGGGATATCTGTAGCAGTTTAATAGTGTATGTGAAATATACCAGGTTGTTGAATGTCATTCCTTGAATATTGTTACATTTATGGTGTATTACAGTTGTATTATTCAATCTGTAACATGCATGCTAAAGATTACAGATATGTTGACATACAGTGCATTCTAAAATCGTTTTGTTGAGGTTTTTACATAGCCATGGATGAGTTTTGATATATGTGTATGTAAATGTCAATTAAACTTTGTGTCTTATTAATGAAAAATATAAAGGAAAATGCCTTTTTTATTCACCTTTTAGGAAGGGATAAAGCAACATTTTGCTTAGAAACTGCATTGTTAAAAGAATTACTTTTACAAGATTTTACAGTTAAATTGTTCTCTGACCAAATGAGAAATGTAGCTGAAATTAAGATTATTTTAGAAATTTCTTTCATTCCTCTAATTCAGTTGATGAATAACCTATATTGAAATCCAATTTCAGACTTTGACAAATCTGATATTTCTTGTTTAAGGTAGTTTGTCACAATCCATGCATTATTTATATTAACTTCTGATCAGAGAAAGCTACCTACTTAGAACAAAACTGGAAAATAACGTTGTAATGAATATAGCTAATTAAATATACTTTTCTTTTATTGTTAGTTACAAAGATTAGAATGTATTGTCTTATCAGTTGGGTAACCATGCTGTTAATAATAATTTTGGCCATAAACTATTACAAATGGGCTCTATCCTGCATAGGACAAAGCCTGTTTTGATTGCACCTACAAATAGTTATAGAGATTGTATTTTTGGACAATCAAGCCATCTCAGGAGCACAATAAGATTAGCATGGGTCTAGTGATACTGATGCCTTCCTACAACATAACTGAAATGTCCATGTTTCACTCAACATATTTTATACCTGAGACTATAGACATGAAATTGACAGACATGAAATCCAAACTGATCTAAACACAGTGTTCCATGCTGTAGAGTTGACTCTGGGAGTAAAGTGTAAGTTCTTTCACTGTTAAGTCTGACTCGAGAAGCTAGTTTCTTACATTTTTGTTACAAATAATTATTCCATTTGCTATCCTGAAGCCATTTTGAGTCTTTGAGAAGTAGTTTGGCAGTTCCTATTGGTCATGTTGTGCAGATAGTGGACAATATGTGATATATTTAACATTCAGACTTGACTAAGATGTCTAGTGTACACATCAATTGTCTGATAACATGTCCAGAACCTTTTGCTACAAATCTGGATAGGCTAAAATGAACTGCCACTTATCCTTATGGTTCTCTAAGTTTCAACATTTGAACAGTTCTGACAGTCTGTTCACCCATCAAAAACATCCTATTACTAATAGGAGGTAACAGTGATACAGAAACAGTAACCAAAATTTAAATGACAACTGAATAGCAAATAATTAAATCTGAATACAATGAGGGATTATTGTTTTTAATTGCAAGTAGCACATACAAAATATGCACAGACAGTCATATATTCTCGCAACAGGGAACATGAATCATTCAGATAATTAAAAACATAGTGATTTTTTTAAATTGCTTTCATATGTAATTTTTCAGATCATATTATATATGTCTTTAATTTTTGGTGTAATTTATAAGCTTAGTACATGCAGTATTTCACCATTTTGTAAACATATTCTATCCAGAACCTGTTGCCATTGAAAATGTGCATTTACACACACTTGAGTATTATAACCTCTGTAACCATTTATGTTTCATATGTTTCCAGACTGTGTAAGACTTTAAACTTTCTCTTTGAAGAAGTCTTTAAATATATATCTGTTGACTTCTAATTTTAGTAAAAAATGCATCAACTAGATTAAATGTGGTTGTAAGTCAGTCAATCAGTATAGAATTTATTAGATTAAACAAATATTTTCTTCTGGTCAGCTATCATCAGGTAACATCTATACATGTATATATTTGGTAAAATTTAGCTGAACTCGTTGATATAACTGGAATTATAATCAACTTATTCATAATTAAGTTTGATTAAAATTGTCATGAATGTTTAGAACTGATTTTATTTCCTCTGGTTACGTATCATTTCATCAGTTTTATCCAGTGAACTTGAAATGATTCTAATGAAAAAATTTAGGTATTTGTCATATATAAGCTGTTTTTTTGTAGCTGAAGTGAGTCCTAAATATAAAAGGAGGTAGTTACAATTTAATAACGTTTTAATCTTTTTTCCAGGCTGGTGAGCACCTGTCAGGTGTCAAGTGCACACCTGCATATCAAATTTCAAAATTTAAGGAAAATAATAATGCTAACTCTGTTCCAACAGTTTTTTACTCAGAAATATTTCATAATTGATATTTTACCAGTTTATAACATCTATTTAGTGTAATTTCCAAAGAAACGTTAGAGGAATATTCAAACTTACATTTCTGCATAGTTCTGAGGAGTCTTACATTTTAGAAATTTTTCTGCCCATCCTAAAGGTTTTTACTTACTAAGAAACTATCATCCCTTGAAAATACACTTAATCAAGTCATATTTCTCTGCTAATTCTCCTTCTCTCAGCCTAATGATTTATTATTATGAGTCTCTGTTCCCATCACATGAAGGAAACAGGCTTTGAAAGTACCTACAGGCAGACTTTAATTATCATTAGATAGTGCACATTAATGTAAATAGAATAAAGTGGTATAAAAAGTAGTTTATGGCTTTATGAGAAAGTGATTAGATGTAGCTACTATCAATGGAATTTAGTGGGAAGTTCAGAAAGGAACAAACCATAGAGCTGGAAATGTTTTTATAGTTTTTTTAGACCTTCTTTTCACTTCTGAAATTGTTTCCAAGTTGAATTATATTTGTTTGAAAGTTATGGTAATTTTCTTTTATAACAAGGCATTCTGTAAGTTTTATTAGATTTAGAGTATGGTAATGATGGACAAATATTCCGATGACTCAAGTCCTTATTTGTTTTTCTTGAATATTACTGTTAATTTAATCATTTTCAAACAATTTACATTAATAAAGGAACTAATTTATTGAAAAAATCTATAATAAATATAAAATTATTTGGACAAAGAAAAGTATTAGCAAAAATAATGTTACTTAGTTTGACCTAACACAGTTTTTAATAGGTCAGGTCTTAGGATACTGATAAGTTTTTGCTGTGAAGTGTAAACAACTACATTTGGCAAAATATTTTCAAAATAAATATGTTAATGAAAACCAGTCAAGTCAAAACTGATTATATATGTGAAATAGAATGACTATAAAAAAAAAATTTAGATCAATAGAAGCATTTTAATGTTTTTAGAAGAAGAAAAAGTGTCTTTTTAGCAAAATGTTTGAAATTTGGCATCATAAAAATTAATTAAAAACTAAATCAAATTATATTAATTTTTTAAGCCAAAACTGAATACTATTCGATAAGTTTATTCTAAATTTCATGCAATTTGATTAAATATTTCAACTGTGAAGAGAAAAAAGTCAAAGGATATCAGTGACACACACATTCCTTAAATGTTTTTCAAAAGATACAAAGTAAACAATAGGTTTAAAGTGAATCTAACCATGAATATTTTGATATGTAAAAATAAATAACACTTGTACAAACGTAGGAAAAAAATATAATTGTTTCTTTTTATGCAAAACAGGAGTATGATGAAAAAATGAAAGATCTTCAGGACAAATACAAAAGAGAGCAAGAATCTAAAGTAAAATTACAGGATGATATGACTCATCTTAAAGCATACTATGAAGAAGAACTTCTAAAAGTGAAACAGAATAAATCTGAAGCTAGTGATCCTATGAAAATAGAGGATTCTACTATGGTAAGAATAAATGTTTGGAGTGTATATAATTAATTAGAAGAAAATAATGCATTTTACTGAAAAGAAGATATCTTACAATACCAAATTATGTATGGAGCAATTAATACACAAAGATCCAGTACTAGAAATGTTTAGATGCTTTTACAGTTTCAGCAATATTTTTTGTTGTTTTCTTAACAAATAATGGTTTGGCATTCTATGCCCAAATCAAGCTTTCAGTTGTCTCAAGCATTCAGGCAACTGTTAACATCGAGATCTGTTTATGTGAATATACATGTACAGTATATAATAATAGCCCCTAGTGACACAGCGGTATGCTTCTAGACTTATAATGCCGGATTTAATACCCGTGGTGGGCAGAGCACATAAAGCCCTTTGTGCTTAACAAAAACAAACAAATATAATAATAATAACACAGTTCAACTTAAGGACATACATGCCAATTCTACCTCCTTTACAGAATAATATTTATGTTCAAGCATTGTGCTTTTTTTGTCAACTATCACCATCAATAAACCAAATGATATTGATAATATGAGTTTGATACTACTTTCATTGAGTTTCACTGATTCACATGCATTTAAAATAAACATGACTACCTAACCACTCAAATTATTTAAGCATAACAATGCTGTCGTGTTTCTATCATCCCTGATAGGGAAGATATAAAGAAGAAATATTTTAATTTTCATATTTATTAAGTTTGATTTCTGTTTGTTGATAGGAAGATGACATGGAATTTATATTTTTAAAAACTCTGGGAATCCTGCTAAAGGAAAAATTAACTTCAAGATATCACGCATAGATGACAATAGGTTCTGAGTGAATCTAACCATGAATAGTTTGATATGGAAAATAAATAACACTTGTACAAGCTTTTTATGCAAATATAGAAAGCTAGTAATCATTCCTATGTTATACATGCAGCCAAACATAAATATTACCAACAAACACAAATATTGTGTGTGTTCCAAGATAAGTGAGCTCAAAATCACTTTAAAATTCTAATATTTTCATTGGTTCTAGCCATATTTTGTCTTTGTAAATCTACATCTTCATGGTAACTAAGTTATTTTGACCATATTCTATTAGGTCATCAAGAAATTAATGTTAGCGTTTTGGTAACACTTTTCATTT